TAGAGAGAGAGAGAGAGAGAGAGAGAGAGAGAGAGAGAGAGAGAGAGAGAGAGAGTAGCGAAATGGCTCCTGTTTCAAGGTCAAGAATAATAGAATCAAAGGCAGCCCAAGGCACTGCTACTGTCCCAAAACCTTTCCATGCAGCTCAGAGAGATAACAAGATCAAGCCAGAAACATTCTTAAGAAGGCAAAACAAATCCATGAAGAAAAACGAAAAACACACATGTAAAAAGGGAACGCAGAATAAAATTTGCTACAGGGAACTCAACAACGATACAGCATTACAATGTACAAGAAAAGGAAATACGGGGAATAAACTGAATCGAATCCGAAGACAACAAACATAAGAAAAGCTATTACAGAAGAAAAAAAAAGAAGACATAGCAAAGAAAGTGTCGATACACATCGCCGACAGCCCAGTAGGCCAACATGCCATATATGTTTTTAAAAAATGTATATAAAGATTACAAACATCAAAAAAACAAACTCACATCCTCATTAGTCGTCTGCTCTGAGGTGGCCAGATAAGTGTGAAAGCCGGCCAGCCCAATGACAGACCAAATGGAGAGAAAACAGATAATGGCCTCCACTATGGTGAACAGGGTCAAGGAAATACAGGCTGGGCGGACAGATAGCGTGGCCACTGTCCGGCACTGACATAGATAGAATCAACACACAAGTACAGACCAGACAGGAACGTTAATTGGCACATTATTGTCATCTCTTTATGGGGAAACCTATTCGAATACAATCTTGGAGTCAGAGGAAAAAACAGAATGTCATAATGGCAACCCCCACACCCCCCCGGAAAAAAACAACCAAACAACCAAAAAACAACGCACCCAAAAAGATAATAATAAACATAGTATTTGAACGATAGAAATAGATGTCATCAGATACGGCCAAAAGGGAATTATATCGATTAATTATTCATTGTAAGATCCAATTTCCCGTTGTTTGGAATTCAGAGCACTTTCGCCATGCAAGATTTTGTCGTCAGAAACCAAGCCGCAGTGTCCATTTTCCTAACTGAACATTCAACAACTAGTTCCTGAAACAATTTCCTCTTTGAAAGTTCAACCAACTTACTGATGCTGTAGTCAGTTTTCCTCAGTGAACACCAAACAACTAAAGATGATGAATGATGAGTCCATTTTCCTCTTTGAACATTCGACCACTTTACTTATCTCCAAGCCATCATCCCGTAAGAATGACTTTTCTATTCACAGCATCAATTTTCCACTGTGAACATCCCGACAACTTTTCCTGTCACTGCATCCGTTTTCTACAGTGAACATTTAACAACTTTTGTAGTCACTGCAACCAATTTCCACTGTGAACATTCAACAACTTTTCCAGCCACTGAATCATATTTCCACTGAACATCAACAACTATTTCAGTCACTGCATCAATTTTCCTCTTTGAGAATCTAACTGGTTTACTGGTCTCTGGGTGTATTATCCAGTATGAACATTCATTCATTCATTCATTCATTAACTTTTCTAGCTACTACGTCAAATTTCCTGTAAGTATACTCCGCAACTGACCTAATCACGTGGTACATTTTCCAGAATGGATATTAAACAACTTATCTAGTCACGAGGTACATTTTTCTGCATGAATATTCAGCAGCTTTTTCAGCCACTGCGCCCCCCCCCCCCCACAGAGTGAACCTTCAACAAATTATGGTTGATCTATCAATTCACCGAGGCCATTTTCCTTCAGGAACATCCAACAAATGTACAGGCAGCCAAGTCCATTTTCCTCTATGAACATCCTGCAACTGGAGTTTTCCAGATCGTTTCTAAAGTCCCTTGGCAAAATTTGAAGGATCAGTCTGATATTCTTTCAAAGCAGAAAAATCTACTGCTGTGTTACCATCTATACGCATGAAGCTTCCTACAAAGCTGTCAAGTCTTTCAAATTTGGCTTCATTGATCCTTGTATTGGTTTAACGCCCCTCTCTACAGTGTAAGAATATAATTTAATGGGCAGGACCTTCAAAATCAACATCCATCTCTGACAGGACTATGCAAAAAGGGCTGAGGACAGCCTTATAAAGTCCCAAAAACAATCCAAGTTCAAAATATTTTCTCGGGGATTTGAACCAGGCTAATCCGCTCTGTAGACCAGCATGATACGGACTATAGCTAACGGTGTGTCCACATGTAGCTTGATGTTCAGAGCCTGTTGTTGTTGCTGTTGCTGTTGGCGATATAATTCTTTTTTGGGGTTTTATTTAACAGCATACCAATCCTTCCAAGTATCCAGCAGTCTTGGTGACGGTCTCAGCTTGAAGCATGAGCCTGAGTGTCTCCCAAGGTTGAAGCTTGGTGAGAGGTACAACAACACATCAAAGATGAATTGACCACACACACACACACACACAAAAATAGTTTATCTATCATAGGAAGACAAAGAATTGAGCTAAGTTCCCCAACAGGTTTCAGACAGAAGTGCAAGGTACTTCAGATCTATAGCCTAAATTGTCCCCGTATGAACTGTTTCTGGGCCTAAGTGAAAAGACACGAACACTCAAGATTTTTTTTTTCTGCTACAGAACTCAAGTTGTGTGCCCAAGTTAAGTTCTTGAACACTGAAGAGGCCTGTTATCGCAAATATAATTAACAATTAAAGAGTTTGATAAAGCCCCACAAAATGTTTTGCCAACAAGTCTGTGACCATTCGTTTTGTTTATACGCACAATCAACCTGTCACGATCATAATATAGCAATAAAAACCCTACACAGAATAATTCATGAAGACACCGTTAGATTTACATTACATACCCGTGGGCACAAGAGCAGTAGAAAAAATACCCATTGACATATTTGCGCAGTCAAGCTGCCCCCTCGCAAAACAGCAGTTCACTGGATGAATAGCTCATGAACATAAGATTTTCATTATATCCTAGAAGTAAAGCAACAGATATGTATTACTTCATGAACATAAGATTTACATAGCCTGGAAGTACAGCAACAGATAGGCATCATATTATGTTCTCTTTTACTAGAACGTGACCAATGATACTGGGACATAGTTTAATTTTAGTAAGAGTTTTAAGGCACTTGCAACACAATAAGGTCATATAGATTTAAGTGCCGAAGATTAGAGGTGTTAAAAGAGAGAACACACACAAAAAAGAAGGAGGGGAGATAAGGATGATAGGTGTTTGATAGGAAAGCAGGAGCAAACCACACCAGAGCACCCGCCAACCACCCACGGACAATAATCTGAGAAAGAAAAAATGCTGAGAAGACACATAGCGCAAGCACTCACTATCGTGATACACGACTTACAGTCACAGAAGCAACCAGTCGTCAACTGGCTTGAAAAGCCAGTGTGGGGGAAAAAAAGAACCGTTAAATTTTTCTCACGCAGCTAAATTTGGGGGATAATTCAACAAATCTTAATCAGCCTTACAAAATCATAACCCTCTTTGTTACAAGTGGGCGTTACTGAAATTTAGACATCTGCACCAGACTTTTGACTCGTTCAAGTGGTGTATGTTTCCCAGACAGCTGGGATTGTTTCAGAAAGCTAACACAGGTCTGTTGGGGGTAATACTAATATACAGGTAGACTGTAAAGCACACGGTGCTTGCTGCATGTTGAGCGGCCATTTTCGCTCAACAAAAGATCCTATTTATTATTATTATATAGGATCAATATCAGCAGTGACCCAAATCTTTAACTATAGAGAATGCATGCTGGTGACCATCGTCGACACATGCTGCGCGGTGATTATAAATGGGCTACAAAGTGAGTGAAGCTGGTCTGAAATTAGAACTCATCTGAATTACAATACGGCCAACCTGGACTTTGTTCAAGCGCATTAATAATATTATGTATAACAAAAGCCCACACATACATGATACAGACGGACCAACGCAAGTCAGAAAAACATCTACATATAAAAGCAATGGCAGCAGGAATACCACAGCTTGAACTATATAAACATTCTTCAGCATTTGGACAAATCTTTAAAAAAAAGACAACAACAACGAGCTAGGTAATGGCTTCATTTCACAGAAAGAGAGAAGAAAATCCATGCTGTCTATATAATACTGCGACGAGGTCAGCAACGGGGAAAATTCACTAGAATAAAATACTAATAGCTATAAGAAACACAGGCAAAAAAACACCAAAAAAGCAGCTGAGGCTGTCAGTTGAAAAAAAAAGAAGCCCCAACTCCACTGGGCAGTCACTAATCAACAAGGAATAGGAATCAATGTATTATCACCAACCAAACTGTACGACCCAAACTGACACTCAGCAGTATTTCAAATTTAAGTGATTTCTCATTAGCTGAAATCATTTTCTCGCCTAACACAGAATATGGTAATTAACAAGCGAAACTGGTGTGGTCAGGAACAATGGGAATAACATACACGACGTTGCTAGAAATTACTCTCCGGGACTCGCAAATGGCGCTATACAGAAAGACGCCGCGTGTACTGTACTGTTTTGAAACAAACTGCGTTGTCCTGAAAATACATGTAAATAGGGACACAACTCTCTGACCCCCAAAATAAAAAATAACCCCCCCCCCCCCAAACCTAACACAAAAAAGAAAACCCAAAAGAAAACAAACACACTACCCCCACAAAACCGTCTCTAAAGAAATAACAATTTTAAAAAATCACTGTTCGGACATTCTACCACGGTGTCAACTCAATATTATGACACTGTTCTCAAAACACATCCATCCCAGGACAGCCCGACACGAAAAGACAATCACTGAGGTAAATCAAAACTATGGCAAAAGGATATCTGGCCGGAGAATCTTTCATGGCTGTCAAGAAATTGTCATCTTGGGCTCCTGTGAAAGATAGAAAATGTAATAATTTAATAGGTTGCCAGCTTGTTTGTTTGACAGATTTATTCGTTTGAGTAAAGAGAAGAACATCGACATGAGGAACAACTATAAATTTAGTGACAGAAACACTACGAGTGGGGCCCTCCAAAATCCATAATTTCAGGAAGGACATTTATTATTGGAGCTGAACAGAAGCACAATAACATAACAACGCTCATTGAGTAGTTGGTTTTAGTTGGGTTAGTTTTAAATATTTTTTTCCATTTTAGTGAGAATTTTATGGCACTTGCAACAAAAAACAGGTCATTGTGTCTTTCTTCGAGTAAAAAGAAGCACATCGACACGGTATTGGTCATTTAGTGACGGGAAAAAGTAAGACAGACAGACATAAACAGCAGATAGAAAGTAAAGGAAGTTGGCTGCCATAGGCGCCCTCCAATTACCCACACAAATAAGTCATACATGTATAAGGGTCCAAGATTAGATGTGTTACTAGGGTGTTCTTGTAAGTGTTTTACGGCACTTGCAACACAATAAGGTCATATAAGTGCCGAAGATTAAAGGTGTTACAAGAGAGTAACAAACATTAAAAAGAAGGAGGGGAGAAAGGGACGATAGATTTTTTATAGGAAAGAAGGAGCAAACCCCACCAGAGCACCCGCCAACCACCCACTTACTAGGGCGTAACAAACAAAACAGAGAAGGAGAAGAGATAAGGACGGTAAACGTTTGACAGGAAAGAAAGATGTTTTTTTTTTCTAGTTTAAGTAAGAGTTTTACGACACTTGCAACACACAAAGGTAAAGTAAGTGCCGAAGACTAGAAGTGTTACAAGAGAGTAACAAACAAAAAGGAGGGAAGATGGAGACGATAGATTTTATTATAGGAAAGAGGGAGCAAACTACCCCACAGCACCGCCAACCACCCACAAAGAAGGAGTGAACCACACCAGACACCCGCCAACAACGTACGAAGGAGACATAGGACGAGAGAGATGTTGGACAGTTTGAAAGGAGCAAACCACACCAGAGAACTCGCAAACCACTCACTGTCACTCTCAACGCAAAAAATAAGTTGCCATATATAGCAGGCAGTACTAACATTTTCCACCAGTAATTGGAGGCTACTCTTCCCAACGTAACTCTTTGACGTAAAAAACCTTTCTCGGAAATCGATTTGTTTTGGGTTGTAAACCGAGCGTCCTCCGGCTGTCTTTGTGTGCCTGTCTGTAGGTCCAGGAAATGTTAGTTTTAGTAAGTTTTACGGCACTTGCAACACAAATAAGTTATAATATAAGTGCCAAAGATTAGCGGTGCTACTGGAGAGTAACATAAACAAAAAAATAGAAGGAAGAGAGAAAAAAACCCAATCGTGTTAGTAGAGGTTTTACGACGCTCGCAACTGCATAAGGTCACATGAGCGCCAGAAGATTTGAGGTGTTACACGAGAGTAACAAACATAAAAAAAAAGAATAAGGGGAGATAAGGACGATAGATGTCCGACTGAAATGAAGAAGCAAATCACACGAGAGTACCCGCCAACAACGCGCCAGTCCCGGGAAAGAGGAAGGGGTGCAAGTATGTGTCAAACAGTATGCACTACAAATGATATTATATTCAATGATATAATTTACTGCGCGCGACAGAATGATTTAACTATACATTCAGGAACCGTCCCAATCTCCCCCGTAAAAACAACGAATTGAAACATCTGTGTGTACCTGCTTGTTTGCTTGTGAGTGCGAGAGTGTGCGCACGCATACGAGCTTGAATAGCGGTTGCAACTTCATAATGCAGAAGAAGAAAAAATCAATACACAGGTAAGTGAAATCACGTCCTTGAAGCACCCCCC